CCCTCACCCCCACTCCACCACCACCACCACCCCCTCCCCGTCCTGCTCAGCAGGTGGGCTCTTGTCAACTGTTCCTCCATGGACCTCTCCAAGCTCTCCAAAGTGTCCTCTGCCTGGAGAGAGAAGGAGAGAGAGAGAGAGATATGAATTAGACTAAGGCTTTTCTTTGTTTTGTTTGGAAATTAAAACATCTCCTGGAATCATTTATTTCTGGTTCATTTTCATACCCCTTCCAAGTAATAAAGTTCTTTTAGTAAAGTAAAACTTTTATCTTTTAATAAAATGGTGACTTCAATGATTTGGGAACTCATTGTGCTTTTATCCGTTTGGCCTTTTAGTTTCTGAGCATTTTGATTAGTACTGCCTGCTTCATGTCTCAAGTCGGAGCTCTAATTACGGCTTGTGTGAACTTCTCCAAAGTCTGTCAGCATCAGAGGCAAGGATGGTGCAGCCCATTACTGTGTATGAGAATATATATACGTAAATATATACACTTTTTCAGCTGATCCAGCACACTGAGCATTTTTGTGGAGATGAAGATTGTAAATTCTTTACTTGAGGCTGAAGTAAAGACTGAGCTGCTACGGGGCTGCACAGAATCCACCTTTCGCAGGGAGCTCTCTGATAACTGCTTTGCCTCACAGTTTCTCCACCTGCTTCTCACTCCATCCGTGCCTTCGATATCAAGCCTTGACGATGGTCACTCCCTCCATCGTAGCACTCCTGGGAATCTCAACCTGAGAAATCATCACTCTCCCTTTCTCATGAGCCCCTTGTCTCACAACCCTCTTCCTCTGCCAATCTCTTACCCTCCTCTAAACACTGCCTCTCCTTTTCCTCTCACTTGCCTGTCTTCAATATTGTGGTTATTGCTCATCCAGGTTCATCTGATTTACCCCTGAGAGAAGCAGGAGACTCTGTGATTTCTACTCACAAGGTTGGGGAGGAAGGAAATAGGTTTGCAAATATCTGACTTCTGAATTAACTATCTACAAGACAGAGAAACTGCCGAAGACACGATCTTACATCTAGAAAATCCCAGAGACTCCACAGAGAGACTTCTGAAATTGATAAATTCAGTAAAGTCTCAGGTTACAGTATCAATGTACACAAATCAGCATCCTATACACCAACAGTCAAGCTGAGAGTCAAAAGGCCCACTACCATTCACAACAGCCACAAGGAAAATGAAATACCCAGGAGTATACTTAGCCAAGGAGGTGAAAGAGCTCTACAAGGAGTGCTATGAAACACTGAGGAAAGAAATCGCAGATGACACAAATAGAAAAACATACCATGCTCACAGATCCGTAAAATCAGCATTGTTAAAATGTCCATGCTATCCAAAGTGACTTACAGATTCAATAAATCCCAATCAAAATACCAAGGTCATTTTCTACAGACCTAAAAAAATAATTCTACACTTCCTTTGGAAGCCCCCAAAGAGCCCAAATAGCCAAAGCTATCTTAAAAAACACATTTTAACCCTATCACATAAAACACATTTTAATCCTATTATCTACTAATGGACACATAGGAGGAGCCCATAGCTTTACTATTGTGAATTGTGCTGTAATAAACATCAGTACAGGTATCTTTTTATGCAATGATTTATTTTCCTCTGGGTATGTACCCAGTAGTGAGATTGCTGCACCATATGGTGGCTCTATTTTCAGTTCTTTTACTGTTTTCCATAGACGTTACACTGTAGTTAGAGCATAGAGTTCTCTTTGCCCTGCATCCTCGCCAATATTTGTTTTTTGTTTGTTTGGTTTTTGTCTTTTTAGTAACAGCCATTCTGATTAGTGTAAGATAACATCTCACTGAGGTTGATGTGGTCTGGATGTTTGGCTCCTCCACATCTGATTTTGAAATTTGACCCTTGTGTTGAATATGGGGCCAGATGGAGGCTGAATGGTAGGTTCCTCAAGACTGGCTTGGTGCGGTTGGCAGGGCATCTAGAGAGTTCTCTATTAGCTCATGCAAAAGTTGGTTGTTTGAAGGAGTGGAGCCCCTCTCCTCTCCCTCTCCTCCCCTCCCCTCCTACCCTGTCTCTCCTCCTCTCCTGAGTGCCTGCCTGTGACACCTGTTTCCCCTCTATCTTGCTCCTTGACTGGAAGCACCTGAACATCTCAGCACAAGTTGGTGCCAGCACCGAGCTTGTACAGTCTGCAGCACCACAGTGAACCTTTCTTTGTGAATTACCCAACCTTAGGTACTTCTTTCATAGCGATGCAAAATGGACTAATGTAATGGTTTTAATTGTCATTGCTTTAATGATTGGTTACATTGAACATTTTTTTCATATACTTGTTGGCCATTTGTTTGTCTTCGTCTGAAACGTGTATTTGTGTCCTTAGCTCACTTTTTATTGGGTTTATTTGGTTTTTATTTGGTTGAGTTCCTTATAAATTCCGGATATTAGTCCCATGCCAGATATATAGTTTACAAAGATTTTCTTCCCATTCTGTAGGTTGTTTGTTCATTCTGTTGATTTTTTTCTTTTGCTATGAAGAAGCTTCATAGTTAAGTCTCATTTGTCTATTTCTGGTTTTGTTACATGTGCTTAGAAGTCTTACTCATGAGTTCTTTGCCTAGACCAGTAACCAATAGAGTTTTCCCTCAGTTTTCTTCCACTGTTTTCATAGTTCCTGTTCTTACATTCAAGGCTTTACTCAATCTTGAGTTGATTTTTGTATATGGTGAGAGATAAATGTCTAGTTTCCTCTTATGCCTATGGATATCTGATTTTCCCCGCACTATTTGTTAAAAAGGATACCTTTTCTCCAATGTATGTTTTTGTCCTCTTTGTCAAAGATCAGTAGACTACAAGTATATGTATTTCTTTTGGGGTTCTCTATTATGTTCCATTGATCTAGTGTCTATTTTTATGTTGGTACCAGGCTGATTTGGTTACTATAATTTTGCACATAATTTGAACTGAGCAATGCGATGCCTTCAGCTTTCTTTTTTTCCTCAATATCATTTTGGCTATTGGGGCTCTTTTTTTTTTTTTTTTTTTCCTGGTTCCATATGAACTTCAGAATTGTCTTTTCTAGTTCTATGAAAAGTAACATTGGCATTTTGATGAAAGTGTGGTGAGCCTACAGATTGCTTTGGGCAGTATGGTCATTTTAACTATATTAAGTTTTCTGGTCCATGAGCATGGGATGTTTGCCCATTCGTTCATATCATCCACAATTTCTTTCATCATTGTTTTTTCATTTTCCTTATAGATATCTTTCACTTCCTGGTTCAATATATTCCAAGGTATTACTTGGGGTTTTTAGTTACTGTAAATGGGACTGCCTTCTTGACTTGGGTCTCAACTAGGTCATTATTTGTATATAGAAATGTATTGATTTCTATGCTGATTTTATATCCTGAAACTTCGCTGAATTTATCAAATTTAAGAGTTTCTTTGAAGTCTTTAGGGTTTTCTAGATATAAATAATATTGTCAGTGAACAGGAATCATTTGATTTCCTTTTTTTCTAATTGCTCTGGTGAGGACTTCCAGCACTATGTGGAATAAGAGTGGTGACAGTGGGCATCTTTGTCTTGTTCCAGTTATTAGGGGGAATGCTTTCAACTTTTCCCAGTAGTATGATGATGGCTGTGGCTTTGTCATACCTAGCCTTCATTATTTTGAGGTATGTTCCTTCTATACTGAATTTGCTGAGGATTTTTGTCATGAGGGAGGTTGAATTTTATTGAATGCTTTTTCTGCATCTATTGAGTTAGTTATATAGATTTTGTCCTTAATTCTGTTTTTGTGATATCTCCCAATTATTTACGTGTGTATGTTAAACTGTCCTTGTATCCCTTGTAAAATCCACTTGATCGTGGTGTATTTCCTCTTTGAAGTGCTGATGGATTCAATTTGCTGGACAGTTCTTGAAACTCACTACGTGCTCAATAAATATGTGTTAAGAAGAAGTGGGGACAGAGACACCACTTGGTTATGGGTTGGCTTGGTGTCATTCTGCATGTCATCTGAGCCATACTTCACAACAAAGAAAGAATAAAAGAGCACCTCCATGGACAATTGAAAGAGGAAGTATTTTTAAAGTTTATTTTAGCTGCCTTGAAAATTATGTACTACTTTTATTAATTTTAGGGAATTGTGAAAGGTTAATTATTTGTAGCAATTACAAAGTCAGCCCCCATACAATTGCACTTTACTATAAAGAGAGCTACAGAAATAGACACCACATCCCCAGCCCAGAGGACCTCACATTATTTTTGGTGCAAGACGAAGCAAACAAGTGACAAAAGAAGAACATGAAGAAAATATTATATGAATTATTGTAACTTAAAAATCATTCTTTAATTCCTGATACATTTTGGATCTAAACTCAGTGAAAGTAAATTTGTGTAAGGGTAAATTCACCAGTTTATCAGAGATGAGCAAGAATGACTTTAAGCAAATAAATTCTGTTTCCTGGTCTTCAGTTTCTTGATCTATAAATTCATGGATTTGGTCTAGTTGAACCTCTGATATCCCTTATCCACTTCAAGTTTGCATGATTTGCTGAGGTACAATATTATCTTATATGTAAGTAAAAAATAAATGTACATTATTTGTCTCACATATTCAAGCTTAAAAAAATACAATTATAATTGATATAACAAAAAATAATTTATTTGTCAAATCCCATATATGTTCTTATACTAACAAAATCTGTATTTTATTTTCTTTTAATTCTGAAAAAACAAATTAAGGTCAATTCTAAATATCTTGGTAAAATAAATAATAACTGGGCTACTAATAAAAATTATATGTTGGCCTTCTTTATTTTCTTTTCTTCCTGTCTCCTACATTGGCGAAAAGAAAATGAATAGAGAGTGTTTTAGGCATAATTAAATATGGATAAAGACATTTATGTTTTCATATATAAGAGAATAATTAGCTTACAAACAATCAAAAAAAGAAAACCATAAAGCAGCAGGTGAGAAGCCCAGGCTGTTGTCTTCGTGTTCTGTCTGTGATCACTGTCTTCAGAGCCCAATCTTGGATGTGATCCAATGGCGATAAGAAGTCACACGTGTATAGACACCTGGCTTATTTTCTTGGCCACATCCCTGACCCCAGCTGACTATTCCAACAAGGTGCCAGATATTTCTGGAATCAGAATAAGCTAGTGGTCCTCCAGAATCATTCTAAAAACAGAAGGAAAAAATGTTTTCTATCTCATCAAAAAATTTCCTTTTGCCTCTCTTCCAGAGTTATCAATACCTCCTGGACACTGACGCCAAAGCCTAAGGCAGTTACAAACCAGAATATATTGTCTCCAGCTGCCAAATGTTGGCATGGGAAGGTCAGTAATTAACTTTATAATGAATCCAGTCAGAGTATGGAGATGGTGACCTGGCCCTTGTGGACACTGCCTTGAGCTTGTCTCTGTGAAGAAGCCTCCAAGGAGTGAGCAGATGTGATCAGCCTTTAGCTGCATCTCTGGATATGAAGGAAGCAACATTCTAGGTCCATAGCTTGCCCAGAAAATAGGACCAAAATTATCTTATAAACCTTTAGGTATTATATCTCATATGGATTCCCAGACTGGTGAGTTCATGAGGACAGGATTCTGTTTGCCAATGCATCCCCAGCATCTAGACTGGTGTCTGGTAAATAAATGGGATTAACAAATTTTTTAGTGGATTGAAATAAGAAGCTACTAGATGAAAATAATTAACAACAAGAAGATTATGTTGATAAAGATTTTGGTTTGGTTGACTCTATGGGAGAAAATGACCTGATAATGTAGCTGGACATACCTGACAGGCGTCAGCCTCCCCCGACATAAACCCGGCACACAGCATGGTCTTGTCCACCATCCCAGACAGGGCGTGTGGGGCATTGCAGCTTTCATTATCAATAATCTTCAAAAAGGCTTGTTGGAGTATGTCTGGGGAGGGACCTAAAGGCAATAAAGCCTGTATATTATGGGGTCTCAGCCTGGTTTATAGGGACAAGAGTACAGAGCATAAAACAGACTCTTTCAGTACCAAGAGCAGGGTAGGGCCCAGGCCTTCAGTCTCTCCCAGACTTTTGTCTTTCTAACCACCTAGCAAATAATTCCAGTTTTGACAAATTCCATGCCAGAGTCAATTTAAAAAGTGGCTACTATGTAACACTGTGCTTTTTGTCCCATAACTTTCTTTTCTTTTCAGTATATTAACTGATTGATTAATTGCATAGGTGGATGATTGAATAATCAGTTAAATAATTATTCCCAAGAAGCTATCAAGTTTTTATAAAAATCTTACCACCATGAGATAGGTGTCCCCATCCGGTCACCACGACACTGGCATTTTCTGAGAGCTTCAAGTTAGCATCAGGAAGACAGCTACTGCGGACAAACTTGGTAAAAGGAACGTCCTCGGCAAGCTGCACTAGGGCAATGTCGTTGTGATAGGGATTCCTATAATTTTCATGAAGAATAATGTTCTGGACTTTCCGAGTCATATGTGGATCTTTTTCTACATTTCCAAAGTTGACAGTCCAGCCTTCTGGACTGCTTGCCCTGAAGGACACAACATAAATAAAACACACTCAGTTTCTGGGTCACAGCAGTGCTACTAGTGGTCCTTAATTATCTCATAATTTTAAGGCATAAGGTTCCCAGGCAACACCATAAACCACTTAAATTCTTATTTTAAAATAAGAATATCTTTGACATGGATATGTTACAAATATAGCAGTCATATAAGGATAGTGCTAAGAGGCCAGGCAAGGTGGTTCACCCCTGTAACCCCAGCACTCTGGGAGGCTGAGGAGGGTGCATCCCTTGAGCTCAGAAGTTTGAGACCAGCCTGAGCAAGAGCAAGACCCTGTCTCTACTAAAAACAGAAAACCTAGCTGGGTGGAGTGGTGGGTACCTCTAGTCCCAGCTACTCAGGAGCATCACTTGAACCTCAGGAGTTTGAACTTGCTTTGGCACTCTACCCAGGGGACAGAGTGAGACTTTGTCTCAAAAATAAATAAATAAGATAAAAAAGAATAGTGCTAAGAATTCCTAGACCTGTCAACTTTCAGAAGATCCTTCAAGTAGGACCCCCGAAACCTCTGGTAACTCAGTGGTATCCAGTTTCTGCACACCTGCTTTTGTAGGAATCTTAGGCGAATCCTTAGCCTTGTAAGTAGATGGGTCCGGAATTTGTCTTATTGTTTACCTCTGGGTTCCTGGAGTCTGGGGCAGCTTGCTTTACTCAGTCTCCTACTGTGCGGCATGATCTATGTATCTTGGCCTTTAATCTAGGTCTTGTGACCAGAATCTCCAGTTCCCCACTGAGGCCCTTCCTTGGTTTAGGACCTAATATCCTCTTTACTCTCACCCTTCTTTTAAAATGCCAGGTATTATTTGTTTTAGGTTCCAAGATCCTCATGTAGCTGTGACAGTCTTCTCTCCCACCCTTCTATCCCATTTTAAACCTTCAGCAACTCTATACAATCACCAGTGTGCTTTGTAAACGCCAATCTCTTAGAATCCACTCAGCTCTGCGTTGGAGAGACTTATACTTAAAAGGCATTGCTCAAGGATCTACTTTCAACAAGGACCCAGACAGTCCCTGGTCTACGGGCCATTTTTTAAAAATGGCTTCAGGAAGACAAGCCCTACAAATGTTCTTGTCAGAGAATTCTTCAGCAAGTAAGTTTCTCATCACAACCAATAAAACTAAATTTTCCAAGTGTATTTTCTAATGTTTCCTTTGAAAGATTTTTCTCTGCTTCTTTTTGTTTACTGTCCACAGAATACAACTTGTGTTGTTCCTTCCCACACATTTGAGGAAGGCTGTTTTCCCAACTAACATGTGTATTATTCTGTCCTATACAGCTCCCTCATCAATCAAATCTTCCATCTTTTGGGTCCAGATTGAATTTTACATTTAATAGAGATAGTTTCTTTCTGCTTCAAGTTTCCATAGACTGTGTCATACATGTGATGTTTACTATGCTATGCTACCTTGTATTTTTAATATACCACATTAAATTTCTTCAACTAGATCATAAACCTCCAGAAGGCAAGGTAAATAAGCACCTGGTCACTGTGGTTGGATGTAGTGGAGTTCACATCCAGCATCTTTTATTTAAGAGTAGTGTAATCCAGGACAAGTTATATCACATTTCTTAAGCCTTAGTTTCCTGTTTTTAAATAGGTTAAATTATACATTCCATTCAGAATTATTAGTGTGATCGAATAAAATGATACCAGCAATGTGCTTAACATCAGGCTAAGGCGGCTGTTTGGAAAGTGATAATTACTTCCATTGACTTTTCCCTCCTTTTCCTAATTTAAATGTTTTCTTTGCCCTTCAGTTATGCTGGTTATAAATCTCCTGTGTGATTGTGAACTTCCTGTGGCTTTGGTGAAACTCGCCACATTTAGGCTGCCCCTGAGGCTGTCCAGATAGGCCTGCACTGCAGCCTTCATTCGTGGGTTCTGCAGCCTTCATTCGTGGGTTCCGCACTCACCATTGGAAGCAGTGAGCGGCAGACACCAGCCACCTGCTGCTCACAAGTGAGGCCCCGCAGTGGTGCTGGCCTTGCCACTGCAAGCTGGCCTGCCACGGCCACATCCCTGCCAGTGCAGGTTTCCCATTCACAACTTTGTTGCCAGCTATAATACTGTTGGTCGCTCGCCTCCCACAACCTAGAAAAGGATTTATTTATGCAAGATCAGGTACCGGCAATTACGCTTTTTAGAGGAACTTTACCTAACAAATGTAATCAGTATAACCTGGTTCTCTGTACCCCGGTGAATCCTCTACAATAAATAAATAAATTATATATATATATATATATCTTTAAAATATTACTGGAAACCCTTAGGTGCCTGCCTGCATCTCCTGCTCAATACTGTCTCTTTCCTCCGGTTTAGTCAGCAGTGGTCCCCAAGCATGGTGTGCTCCCCAGAGGTCCTGAGTGTAGTGTGTTCCCCAGGGGTCCCCAAGTGTAGTGTAGTGAAAGACAGAGAGAGAGAGAGAGGTATGGTGCGCAGTGGTCCTCAGGACTCTTACCCTCTTTGTCAGCCTCTCCCAAACACTGTGTTTTATTGTACCTATTTGTTATAATTCTTGCCTCTCCAGGTAGATTGCAAAATTCTTGAGGGTAGAGAATTGCCTCACTTCAACCTCCATCTCAGCAGTGTATACAGACCATAGACACTACGGGGGTGTCCACTGCATGAACAAACACGTGGGTGTGAGCTGCAGCCAGTGTGGCACTCTGCAGAGAATTTACTGGGAAGAAGCATCTGGACACAGTGGTGTGTCCACAGTCCCAGAAAAGAGGGCAGCTGAGCCTCAGGGGTCTGGGAGGAAATGTGCTCTGACTGCACCTATGAATCATTGTGCTTTAACGTGGGCAACTTGGTAACACTGTCTCTAAAAATAAAAATTTAAATTTAAAAAGGATAAACTGTCTTATCTAATAAGTGTATTTGACTTAGCCTAGTCTGATCATGTGTTCTTAAGCCATGAGGCCCTTTTTCCTGCAGTCTTTCTTATTTTAATTGATTTAGCTCTGACATTCTTCAATCATAATTTCATTATGGGAAAGCAATTCTCATTTCACCTTGTATATGATTCCTTACAAATGTTAAATTCATAGACCAGTGCTGCTTTTCAAGAAGAAATTCCAAGTTCATATCTGGTATACTCAGTACTTTTGAAAGAGTACCACATGGATTTCCATGTGGTATATTTCAAAGATATTGAAAAATGATGAGGAAATACTTGTGAATGTATCATATTTGCAATAAAGGTTCTTAACTTACAGTTTTTGGCAAGCATTTCATAAGTAGCCTTGCTGATTTCTGAAAGTAAAATAAGTAACATATGACCAAAGAGTTCATCCGAATAACAAGAACATAAATGCTAATTTCCTAGCCCAGTTACACCCAACGTAACTGTTCAGACTAGCTCATATATTGATTATCTGCCCTAGAAATTCCACATGTTGTATTTTAACCATCTCTCCACCTCTCCACCAGGTAGTACATATAGGGAAAGGGAAGCTTTCAGTTGTATGATAGTTGTAGTAAAATATTCAGTGAAATAAGAAGCTGACAGTCTTCAAGAATTTGGATCTCTCTCTCTATGATAATTATTGGTACTCTGAAATACCAAAATCTCTCTCTCTCTCTCTCTCTCTATATATATATATATATTTTTTTTTTTTTTTTTTTGAGACAGAGTCTCACTTTGTCACCCTGGGTAGAGTTCTGTGGGGTCATGGCTCACAGCAACCTCAAACTCTTGGGCTCATGTGATTTCCTTGCCTCAGCCTCCCAAGTAGCTGGGACAACAGGGGCGCGCAACAACACCTGGCTATTTGTAGAGATGGAGTTTCGCTCTGGCTCAGACTGGTCTGGAACCTGTGAGCTCAGGCAATCCACTGCCTCGGCCTATCAGAGTGCTAGGATTACAGGCATGAGCCACCGCACCCGGCCCACGTACCTATATTTTTTAAAACCCCAATTAAAATGATATTTCATTCAGCTCATCTTGGTCTTTAATCTCCTTATTAGGACTGAATTGTGAAATTTTAAGAATTTAAATTTAAATTCTTTTTCCTGTTGGAAAGAGACTTTAGAGAGAAAAAGAAGAGGAGGAACCAGAGGCAGGAGCCCTGGGAACACGGAGTGCGCTCTGGGTCGCGAGTGGCCCAGTGCAGATGCCTCTCCCAAGGGCTGCCCCTCTTACCACCTTGGGGAGCGCTGCCCCACAGACACCTGTCGCTGGGGACCGGGTCTGTACTCTGAGGCAGGCCTTTCAGACAATAGGAGACCCTCAGCTCGCAAGAACCACTAACCAGGCTCGGGATCCACGCGCGGACCCCACGGGCCTTTCAGCAGGCGCGTAAGCTTGAAGGCCTTTCCAGGACCTTGAGGATCTTTACAAACTTCATCCCTGAGGACAAATGCTCTCATTTTCCTCCCTGGTTTTCTAGGGAATTATTCCAGTCGACTTTTTCTTTAAGAGTAGTATTTCTGGGCAGCGCCTGTGGCTCAAAGGAGTGGGGCTCCAGCCCCATATGCCGGAAGTGGTGTGGGTTCAAACCCAGCCCCGGCCAAAAAAGCAAAAAAAAAAAAAAAAAGTATTTCTCGGATTCTTCCACAAGAATCAATAGGGACTCCCATTCCCGTTCTTACTTCCCAATATCCTTACTAATGACCACGAAAACCATAAATCTGCTCCCTGACGAGATTAGGGCGTCAGAAGGAAAGATGCCTTGTGGAGACCCCTGCCCTTTCCGCACTCAGCTTTGAGCCCTTCGGAGCCCAGGCGGTTTCTGAGCTTCAGCCTGGTCCTGTCCCGCCCTGCCACAAAACCCTGCGGGACTTCGCCTCCCATTGCCAAGTCACCGCCAGCAGCATGGAGTTTGCTAAGCATACTTTCCCCCAAATCCTTGAAATTCATAGTTTAGTTACTTAAGTAATAGAAACTAATGGAAATAAGTCAAATCCCTACCTGTAAGTTTAATGGAAGTGGGGACCGCCTTCCAGGAAGCCGCGTTGTTCTTCGACAGCTGATGCAAGATCGCCCGGATCTGAGTCCACACGCGGTGCCTGCGCGCCCGAGGAAACTCAAAGGTCAGCCGCAGGTGCACGTGCGAGCCCTTGGCATTCGGCCTGCGGACGACAGAGAGGGTCCTCGCTGCTCAGACAATGTTCCAAGAGGCTGCGTCCCACATTTTAATTATTCTGTGTTCTTTACACGCACTAATGGAAGACACACAGGTACCGCCCCAGCGTGCATGAAGCGCAAAGGTCCCCAAGAATCTTCTAGCTGGTTCAGAGCTGCTGTTTTCTGAAGATGTGGATGGACCAGATGTGTCAACCAGAAAGCATGACATTTTAAGTGCGTTAGAGAAGCTGCAGACACGCCAACCAACGACTGGCATGAGATTCTGTTATAATTTCATGCAGAATTTTTCTAACAATTTAATTTTAGAGAAAGAGTTCAATGTAAAGGCAGAGCAGGGAAGCTTTCAAAGACCTTTCTCTGCGGAGAAGCGTACCAGCAGACTTACAAGGTGGGGACACAGAGGGCGGGGACACAGAGGGCGCTGTGCAGCAGCGCACAGAGCATCTTGATAATAAGCTTGGCACTTGCTTTTTATTAATCAGGAGGGGAAACTAATCCATTTCTAAGGCTTTCAAACCAAAAGTCATATTAATCACAACTTTAAAATAAAACCCACAATTCTATATCCCAATAATTATGATCAGCTTGAAGGGTCTTGGAAGGTTATTGTTTATCTGAAAGTGAGTAGGCTGGTTGGTTGGTCAGTCAGATTTTTTATTTTGTTTTAGGAGTTCGGAATTCTCCAGAATGGATTCTGGCAGTTACCAAGTTCCAAGTGCCCTGTCCCCCACATGTCACCTTCCTCCCTGCACCTTCCACAGAACTGCCCTCAGGCACCCCTTCAAAGACTCTTGAGACAAATGTCCAAAAATATCGACTTTGCTTCACAGCCATTGCAGAAATTGTAATTACTAAAGAAACCAAAAAAGGATTGTTTTAGGGAAGGCACATCCAGGGTGTGGAAAGGAGGAGTCCAGGACATGGGTAGGAAGCCTGCAAGTACAGAGGGGGCCGCAGACGTGTTACAGTATCTCCGTCCTGAACAAGAGTTTGCTAAATATAGTGATACTTTATTTTATGGAAAACTAGTTCTTTCTCTTTTTCTTTCTTTTCTATTTGTTTCTTTTCCCTTCCTCTTTCTTTATTTTCTTTATCTTTCCTTTTCTTTGCTTTCTCTCTTCCTCCCTCCCTTCCTTCTCCCTCCCTCCTTCCCTTCCTTCCTTCTGTTTCCTCTACTTTTATGTTTGTTTTATACTGTTGTCATCTGAAATTAAGGCTGTGTGATGTGTTACCTATCCCCAAAGATCTTGGATGACTTTGTACTTACAAAAGCTTGATGACCTCAGAGTTGACATATTCTTTATATATACTAGAATTTTGAAACATATACAGCATCTGTCAAGAGAAAAAAAAAGCTGCCGTGTTTGTTTCAATCAAATTTATAATAAAATCAGTAGAAAAAAATCTCTGATTTACCTTAGTTTCAATATCTTTGCTTAGAGCTGTGCTTTCTGGAGAAGCTCCGATTTGACAACTATCATGGTGTGTGACTCCAGAAATATGAAAATCACCTTGATAATAGTAAACCTTTCCTGTAAAATAAATATTCAAAGACTTTTAAAAGAAGAAGCATCAAGTCCATTTACATCTCTGCTTCAAAATATTCAACCCAGTATTAGAATAACCTAAGGGGGGGGGCAAATGGGGAGGGGAGGAGAGAGGAGGAGAATGAATATCTGTTTATTCTAGAAATAGGAATACCCAGCATCCACTGAATGACCTCCCTTCTTTCTTTTGTGTGATAATACACATTACTGCCTGCATCTTCCCCAAAACAGCAACGTCAGCACCACTAAGGATCCTGAGTGTACAATCAAGATGAAACCTATTTCCCTTGCTGCTCTGAAGCCTTGGCGCAGTGATGGCCTGATCTGTCTTCTGGGCTCTTCTAACCTAGGGAGCTCGACTGGCCTTTACTTTCTGGCTGGATTCACCCTCTCTTGCACCCTTCATGTGCGTCTTGGCATATCACATGAGCCCTTAGGGTCTTCCTTATTAATCACAAAGATGAAATTGCAATAAACTCCAACACCCTATTCTCTCTACTGTTTCATTATTTTCATCTGTGAAATTTGTCACCAAATGAGCTAGAGTAAATGCTAAAATCTGCCAAGTTTATGTCCCATGAAAAATGCTAAACCTGGGTATTTACAAGTAGACAATTTGTCAAAAGTTACAAATGTCATGGCCAGCTGAGAGAAATCAGAATTTTTAGACTCCCGACTTTAGTTATAATTTTACTGAGAAGCCACGTTGGTTCAATGTGCCATTTTAAAATTAATTTTTCTTCTGATTATTGTTATGGATTAAATTTTTTCCCTCCCCCCAATTCATATATTGATACTCTATAAACACCAGTGTGGCCACATTTGGAGATGGGTGCTTTAAGAAGTGAATTAAAGTTAGAGCTCATTCAGATGAGGCCCTGACCCAATATGACTGGCATCTTTATAAGAAGAGCAACAGGCACTTATTGGCGCTTTGCTCTTAGATTTCTAGTCTCCAGAACTGTGGGAAAATAAATGTCTGTCATTTAAGTCAGTCTGTGGCATTCTGCTGTGGCAGCTTGAGCTACTCAACAAATTTCAATGAAAAATTATTCTGTGCTCTATAATGTGGCCAGTTTTCTGTGGCTCTATAACTGTCCCAGTTTTACAGACATGGGAATAGTCTTCCATGACAAATTGCCCTTGATCCCAGAGTTGATGAGAAAACCTTTTATTTTAAGATAGACATATATTTCACTGCCTCTTTAAAACACTGTCATGGACTAATAGATTGTAACCCTGTGTATCCATCATAATCACCACAATGCTTCCAAAAGGCACATAGAACAGATCCTGCCCTGTCCTACTGAACAGTATGCCCTGGGGAAAAGAATCCCAGTCCAGTTCCTAATGCCACAACCCTTTAATACAGTTCCTCATTTTGTGGTGACCCCCCTCCATAAAATTATTTTCGTTGCTACTTCATTACTGTAACTTTGCTATTGTTATGAATCATAATGTAAATATCTGATATGCAGGATATATTATCATTGGTTGTAACCCACAGGTTGAGAACTGCTGCCCAAGTCAATAAATGGTGCTGGGAAAATTGGACAGTGACATGCAGAAGAATGAAACAGCATCCAAATCTCTCACAGCTCACAAAAATTTATTCAAGCTGGATAAAAGATTTAAAGGTAAGGCATAAAACCATAGAATTCTAGAAGAAAATGTTGGAAAAACTCTTCTAGATGTTGGCCTAATCAAGAATTGATGAAGAAGTCCTTAATGGCAATTATAGCAACAACAAAAATAAATTAATAGGAATTGGCTAAATTAAAAAGCTTCTTTCTGTATGGCCAAGGAAATAATCAATAGAGCAAATAGATAACCTACTGAAAGGGAGAAAATATTCACAATCTATATCACAATCTATATCACAATCTATATCCAAGAAGGGGCTAATAACTAGACTCTATAAAGAACTCAAGCAAATCCACAAGAAAAAGACAAATAACCCTATTAAAAAGTGAGCAAAAGACATGAACAGAATCTTTTCAAAAGAAGATAGGCAAATGGCCAATAAATGTATGAAAAGTACTCAATGTTGTTGATCATCAAGGAAATGCAAATTAAATTCTCAATGAGCTATGCCTCACCCTACCCCTGATAGAGTCACTTTTTTTGAAAAGTCATAAAAGAATAGATGCTCATGAGAAAGGAACACCCATACACTGTTGGTGGGACTGCAGATTAGTACAACCTCTATGGAAAGTCCCATGGAGAAACCTCACAGAACTAAAAGTAGACCTACCATTTGACCCAGTAAACCAAAATAAGTCATTTTTATCAAAAGACCCCTGCACTCAAACTTTTATATTGGGGCACAATTCACAAAGATGTGGAATTAACCCAAGTCCACATTAAATTATAGAGGATTAACAAAGTATTCCATGGAATGCTAGTCATCCATGAAGAAGAATAAATTAATGCCTTTTGCAACAATTCATGTGTAACTGGAGACCATTATCCTAACAGAAGTATGTAAAGAATGGAAAACAAACACCAAATGTATTTACTATTAAATTGAAACTAACTGATGAGCACTCACTTAGAGAGGGGTAAAGCTCAGCAAAAATCAAGCAGGCAGGAAGAGGGGGGAGGGGAAATCCCACCTAATGGGCACAGTGACTATCAGCTGGGCAACAAGCACACCTATAACCATGGAGCATTATAAAAGTGATCCATGTAATGAAAAATATATTACCCCCACTGAAATTGAAAGAAAAAAAGAATGAAAAAAGTTTTGAGGAACAAGAGTTTAAAAGAAACTAATTTTATACCATTTAAATGAGGAATTACAACAGCTGTTGTCCAGCTTATGTTCTCAGTGCTAACAAAGATTGTGTTCTTCCCTAGGCCAGAATCCTATAGCAAACCCATCTTGCAAACTGACTTCGAAAAAACCTTGTAACAAGAGGTTGTCTACTTTTTGTTCATGAGTAGCCCATTCAACTGATTCAACTTCAAGTAATACAAGCAACTCTAGCCTTATAAGTGAAATGTTAAGTGCTCGACCATTAAAGATGTTGGAGTGAGAATTCTCATCCCACATACTTCCTGCTCAAGCTAGAGTGTGCTAGGCTTTCTGTTAAGGCATTGTTTCCCTAAGAGAAGGCAGCTGTGAAAACACATGCTGTATCTTGGAAGGGTAACTAAGTGAGCTACTGGGCTCCATTGACAGATGGAAAGGATGGTTTTGAGAACTCAGGACATTATATGAAAAATGTTATTTTTTATAAGTAGAGTCAAGGAGAGGACAGAAAGATCTGTAGGGTGAAGATGTCATGCACAGATAAGCTTTCAGGAGACTGAAGGCCAAGCCCAGGAGTGCAAGGGAGAAGCAGAGGGGACGCTGTGTTGAAAGAAGTGGGATCCCTGCCAGTGCCTGAATTGTCCAAAACACATTTGCACTGCCTGCTGTATAGCATGATGTATTTCAGAGAAATAAAACCCTGAAAAATCATGATAAATAGAATGATACACTTAAAATATTAAAATATTAAGTAGATTGATATTAAGCTTTTAAGTGAGCTGTATGCTATTTAAAATGGTATGTTATCAAGTGAGTCATGCGAGCCTCAATGAGCTGTGTGGACACAGGGATGGTGGTAAGACTTGCCCTCCTGAGCTTAAAGAATTACTGTGAGGATCAAGTGTCAAATTTTTTTAATGATCTAAATGACTAGACAATTTAAGGGCTTATTTTTCTGAGAGATAAATTGGAAAACCAAGATTTGTGAATGTACTATTATTAATGGTTTTAAAAATAGAATTAAGTTTGTGCTCCCACTTATGGGTGTGACGGGTTTATGTCACACCTCCTGGGGGTGGGACACAACTACAGCAGGAACTCTACCTGCCAAACGCAAACATTGAGACCTAATTGTTTGTACACTCACATTAGTCTGAAATAAAAATAAAAAATAAAAAGCAAAAAAAAAAAAAAATAAGATCAAGTCTGTACAAACATTTAGCCATTCAATCACGTTTGGCCATTTACTATTGTGAGAGTGATTTGGGGGTAATTCATTTCCATTTAACTCATCATTTCTTAATGCGCAATAGCAGAATTAAGCCAAGAAAAACAGGAATGTGGCAGTTTAAGGTTTACTCCAGGACACATCACCTACTACATAAGCTCCTGTAGTGACAGTGAATACTGGCATCAAAATATTTAGTTTTATGGGCTCAGCCACACCACTGTAGTTCGTGTTATAATTTATAAGGCGGTGTTTGATTCAAAGAAATTATAAACTTCTATGTCAAAAAATAGGAAATTATTGTGTTGAACTAAAATAGTAAACAAATGGGGAAATGTCCAAGAAGAAGTTTAATATTCATGTTATTTCTTGTCTATGTTTAAAATTAAAAGGAGATTTAATAATAAGGGTGAAAATTGGAAATAGCCAATACTGACCAACTGCCAGAAAATGAACAAGGAGACCGACAGTTACTCCCAGGATTGCCACCACTCCGAGAAAAATAAGGATTGTCTTCCCCAGTGGCCACAGGCTTCTTCCTGAAGGCACGCCGAACCTATCACCAGGGAAGAATGGCTTACATCAGATGGCAGGCATTCCAAATCTACACTGCATGACTTCTAAGCTGTGCACGGATCCCTGTGTGAGTTTAGAACACAGAAACCTCAAGCACCTCAGAGACCCTACAGCTCATCCACTTAACAATGGTGTTTGAGCACCATGTCACCTGCTGTGAATGCAGCAGTCAGCAAAACACAGTCTGTCCTCATGTCTCTGAGGAGTAATTGAATTGCTTTTTTCCTTTTAAATCTAAAGCAGGCTACAAAGCATCAGGTTTGGTCTAGATGTGTCTTTGTGAACTACATCCATACCATAAACATAAGAATATGCAGGTTTATAGACACAGTTAAATGTACAACATACCAGTTTTTAATTCCAGGTCTAAGAAATGCGAAAGGAAGCACCGCAGTATCTCTGCCTTATAAGACTACAGATAGATTGTTCCTTTTTTATTTACTTTTTCCTTAACTATATTTCCTAATTTTTCTACACCAAATGTAGATTATTTGTGTAGTATAAATCATTAGCTTGTATTACTTTTTTTTAATAATCAAAACCCATCAATTACATGAAAAAGCATAAGATAGTCTGATGACTCGGCACCGCCGTGCAGGTAGAGGGGTTTAGGGTTGCAGTCAGGTTTTATAGCCTCAGTGAACCTTGTCTACACAAGGCTTGGGCACCAGTTATGTTTTGTGTCTTGAAAGACATGATACGATGTAACTGCCCATTGGAGGAAGGATTGTGATACAAAAATTTCTGATTTCAAATTTCACAACTGTCTCAGCTGTTTCCTTGATCACTGCTTTCTGCATCAGCCCTAGTAGCCCTGCAAGCAGAAGAGTTTACAGTCAGGGGATATGTTTGGTGAGTTCAATGTCCCCTATAAACATGAAGATCTTTTGTTCTCACCCCTCCCAGGCCCACTGGCTTTTTCTGACACACCACACTGAGCTCCTCCACCCAGTTTTACTTCCTGGTCACTCTGTTCTTAATCCTACCTCTTTGTCTCTTTTGATGACTTGTTAATTCGGGTTTCCCAGAACCAACATTATATGTCAATCTCTTCAAAGACACCCCTAATTTCAGGCATATTCCATGTGTCTTTTCATACTTGAATTCGGTTGTTTAATCTCAGCCTCAGGGAAAAAACCAGCTATGCAGACAATGTCTTCCAGTGACTATAAACTGCGCTGTCAGAGTGAGCCTCAAATTTGTTTGCAGATTAGCCGGTTCCAACTTAGTCTGGTAGCGTAGTCTTTCTGAGACATGCATGTTAGTCTGTAGGACTCAAATATCACCCAGCCTAAATGATGATTCTAGGTGATGAGATGATTTCTATACAAACAATCACTACATTGCAGCTTACTAGAGGCCTTTCTCTGACAATTCCCTATGGATACCCTGGAAATTTTTAAAGAATACATTTTGTTTTCTATAGCTATTTTTCCCCTCCCACGGCTTTCTTTATGCCAAAACAAGTGTGGAGATTATTTAAAACTTAAAAGATTATAATAATGTATGATTAATTCAGCCCTTTCCCTAGTAAATGTGATACATGTACAGAAACTCTAGGAATTAATGGAATTATTATTTCTGAACAATATCTGAACTTGTTAAAATAATGTTCTAAATATTTTTTAAAAGATCCATTGATGAATAATTTACTTTCATTTACCAAATTAATTTTTGTCCACAGGTTTTTTTTTAAATGCAGAAATTTGCATTCCAGGATGAATCCTTCATTTAACAAAAATAATAAGTTGAAAATTAACCTTCAATGAATTTAACTAGTTCCATATAATTTAACTAAACTATAATTACTTCTCTTTTAGATTGAATCTGCTTCAAGTAAGACCTCTTTGCTGTTCTGGCATAATCGACCATTTGTCTTAATCAACTAATAATAATGATGTTAATAGGCCAGCTGCCATGGCTTACACCTGTAATTCCAGCATTACGGAGGCCAAGGCAGGTGGATCCCGTGAGCTCAGGAGTTCGAAACCAGCCTGAGCAAGAGGTAGACTCCATCACTACTAAAAATAGAAAAAAGAAAATCAAAAAAAGTAGCTGAGTGTTGTGGCGGGCACCTGTAGTTCCAGGTTCTTGGGAGGCTGAGGAAAGAGGATCACTTGAGCCCAAGAGTTTGAGGTTGCTGTGATACCACTGCACTCTACCCAGGAGGACAAAGTGAGACTTTTGTTAATTAATTTTAATAATTAATTAATTAATTAATTAAAATACTAATAAAAAGTGATGCTAATTATACTATTCAGAATTTTAAAGTATCACCTCACTATAATTCTCTCCTCACAGTCCATGTTGGGTATTATTTGTTAGGCATGATTTCCTTATAACCACTTCTGGCATTGCTTTAGCAGTGGAACTGCAAAGCATTAAAAAATACAGTTTTCATTTATCAGAACTTGGTTCATCATTTGAATTAGATGTGCCTGAATCCTGTTATATAACAGAAAGTGCTAAAGCAAATTCTAGTGCAGAACTTTCTGAATTTTATGAAAATAAACCACTTTTATTAGTGAGTTTTAAATCACACTTTTCCACAGGGCACTGTCCTGAGGAGCGGGTGCACGGTGTCACATGGGTGAGCGGCCTCTGCTGCTGTCTCTTGGAGCTCTGGAAGAAAAGTCTATGACAGGAAACCCATTTGGGAATTGTTGAAGTTTGGGGAGCACCTGCAGAGTGTCAGCTGCATTGTCAGGGTGCGTTATTCCAAAAATCTATAATGGTGGTCAGATTTTAAAATTATTTTTAGGAAAGTCTTTTAACAATAGAAATTTAATCTTTTTATTTCAAAGAGAAAGCTTAGAGCACTTCCAAAGAGAGTTGGAAGTTGGTTCCTCTCATGAAGCAGCAGAGGTGAGTGAGACCTAGAAATTTGATTTTGATTATCTTACTAAAGAATAAAAATGGTAGAGTTCTTACAAGCAGTCATAGAAGAAATGTTAGGCCTCATTTCATTAACCTTTTAGGTCAATTATATGCTTCCATTCTTTCCCAGTAAGCAAAATTTTGCTGAATTGATTCTTTTTTTTTTCTTAACTCCGAAACTTTCCCAGAGACTTGTCAAAGGGCCTTTTGACCTCAGGCAATAGCATGTTTCTTGACAATATTCAGAAACAAAAAAACAAATTATAGAAATAAATCAATTAACAAAAAATGAGAAGATGCTCTATAGCAACTTGTTAGAGACAGACGGTCTCATGAGTAAAATCCCACTTACCTGTGCATGGTGCTCTGAATGTTGTGGCTATCTCAGAGACAGCAGAGTTGAGGGCGATAAGGATGGTGGTGGTAGTGATGACCCAAGGAAGAGCCTTCTGGTACAGCTTTTGACTTCTGTCTTATATTCAGTGTTGGTTGGCTGTTTTTTATGGGCTGGGTAAGATGTGGAGGACAAATAAGATGAAACTTGTCCAACTAGTGTTAATCACAGTCACATTTCTATGGTTTCAAGACAAGGAGTCATCTTGGTTATTTAGAAAAAAATCACAGCCCAGCTTGAATTGGTTACCCAAGAGATACACCCAAGACAGCTTTGTGGTGACAGGATCACCTTGACTCTGTTCCTGGTGATTCCATCATCCTGGCTTCTTATTCTGCAGCTGAAACGAACTGCTACCAGATAGAAGTTTTTGAAAAATGTGTTTTTACAAGGTATCAGTTTTAATATAACTAATATTGCCACAATTCTGATACAAGTGAAATTCTATTCCATATGGTTTCCTTAATCACTTGTAAGAGTAATCATCATTTCACATATTTTGTCTTTTTTTTTTAAATTTTACTATTGATTACCATACCACATTTCACATACTTTGAAAGAATTTGTGTTTCCTCTTCTGAGAATCCTGTTCATGAATTTGGCTTTTCTTTTATTCTATTAGGTTGTTAATCTTTTTTTCTTATGAATATATATGAGTTCCTCATACATGCTGGATATTAATATTATTATAGTGGATATTAATCAGTCATGTTCACCCATTAATTAATCATTTAATCAAAGGATACAGCTCAATGATTCATTATACAATGTGATCTTTTCACTCACCAAGGCTTTTTTAATAGTCTGCTTGATCATACTTTTCCTTTATATTTTATGCTATGAACCACACTTACGAAATCTTTCTCATCTTGATATTTTCAAAGTATTTTCATCTAAATTTTAAAGTTTTACTTTCTTTCATTCAGGTCCTCAAAAACTCCAAGAGTTAATTTTCATGATGGTATAAATTAATATTTTATTTGTATGTTTTCTTAATTTTATATCATTTTTATTTATTTATTTTTCTTTTTTTAGAGACAGAGTTTCACTTTGTCACCCTCGGTAGAGTGCCTTGGCATGACGGCTCTTGGGCTTAGGTGATTCTCTTGCGTTAGCCTCCCGAGTAGCTGGGACTACAGGCACCCACCACGACACCCGGCTATTTTTGTTGTTGTTGCAGTTTGGCCAGGGCGGAGTTTGAACCCGCCACCCTCAGTATATGGGGCCGGTGCCCTACTCACTGAACCACAGGTGCCCCTCTATATCATATTTTTTATTAATAGTCTGTTTCTCCAGATGTTTTTATTACACAGTTTGACTTTTCTCCAGTAATGTGTGATGTCTCCTATATTATATACCAAAGAGCCTCGTGATTCTTAGCTCTCTGGTTTTTTGCATCTGGTGATCTTTTCTTCTCTCAGTACTGAATAAATTTAGTTAATGTAGATCAGGAAAATGTTTGAGGCTTTGCAGACCATATGGTCTCCATTGCAACTACTCAATTTTGCCATCACACCCCAAAAGAAGCCATAAACAATCAGAAAAAAATTAAGTAAAAATAAAAATATATGAGCATGACTGCTTTCAAGTAATTATTTGCTCGTAAAGGCAAGTTGCGAGCCAGATCTGGCACACGGATTGTGGTTTGCTGACCTCTACCACACATTCCAAGTCATGATTTCTGAGAGCATACGTTTCTCAATCTTATTTTTCTTCAAATTTATATCAGTAATTCTTAACCTTTTGAGGATCAACTTACCATTTTAAGTTCTAAGAAGATATTTGGAGATTTTGATAGAAATTGTATCATCTCACAGAACATTTTGGAAATATTTACCCCCTTTATCTTGCTGACTCTTCATCAGCACGGCACAGCTCCTCATTTATTCACGCCTTCTGTTATTCCTTTACTCTCATTTTGTAATTTTATTCACAATGCAATATAAGGCAAGTACTTTTTACTTGTGTGTAAATTCCTGTGTGTAGCGTTTCTCACAGTCATGAATAAGTTTTCTATTAGATTCTCTAGTCATTTCTTGCTGGCGTGTAGGGATGTTACTGATTGGTGTTAGGAGGTAGCACACCCAGGACATTCTCTGAGTCTCTTATTGATGTCACTAGTCTGCCTGCAGATTCTTTGACTTTTCCATGTAGGCAATTATGCTGTCTGAAGATTCTGAGACGTCCACATCTCAGCAGCACAATTCCTTCCCTCCATGGATTGTCTTTCTTTAGTTTCTGACTGGTCTTTTGTCACTATCCACTGTTTTCATATGGTTGATTTTTATATTTTTCTAAAGTTTATAACTATTAGCCTTGAGAGGCTCAATATGAGGTACTTTGCCATTAATGGAAGTGGAACTTTTCTTTTTTAGACAGAGTCTCTGTTGCCCTGGGGAGAGTGCCATGGAGTCACAGCTCACAGCAACCTCAAACTCTTGGGCTTAAGCGATCCTCTTGCCTCAGCCTCCCAAGTATCTGGGACTACAGGCACCCACCACAACGCCCAGCTATTTTTTGGTTATAGTTGTCATTGTTGTTTGGCCAGCCCGGGCTGGATTCAAACCTGCCAGCTCCTGTGTATGTGGCTAGTACCCTAGCTGCTTGAGCTACAGGTGCCAAACTAGAAGTGGAATTTCTTTTTTTTTTTTTTTGCAGTTTTTTTGTCCAGGGCTGGGTTTGAACCCACCACCTCCAGTATATGGGGCCAGCACCTTACTCCTTTGAGCCACAGGTGCTGCCCTAGAATGGAACTTCTTAAAGGTAACTTTAAAAGAACAGAATTTCTTAATTTTAATTTAAAAGTTAATCAATCTTTAAAGTGTAATGTGTATCTCTGTGTGGTCTAAGAATTCTTTGCCTTTCACAAATATATTCTCCCATGTTTCCTTCTGGAAACTTTAATGTGCTCCTATCTGCACCTGAATCAACAATTTGTGCAGAATTAATTTTTGTGTGCATTCTGCAGTAGGACCAGTATTTATTTTTTTCTAGATTGCTGTTAATTGACCCTGAACATCTTACTGAAAATGAGTACACACAATCCTTTCTCCACTTCATGTCAGCACTGCTGTAAATCAAGTACAGACCAAAGGTGGATCTGTGTCTGAGCTTGTCACTGTTTCTCTGATCTATTTTGCTGTCCTCCAGCTGCTTCACACTGCTCTAATTACTGCAGTTACAGACTGTCCTGGTCCCTGGTGATACAAATCATGTCTCTTTCCTTGTTCAAAGTTGTCTTGGCTATTTTTGGCCCATTGTATTTCCTTAGAAATTCTAACACTGATCAATTTCCATAAAGAAATTTCTAGGATTTTTCTGATATAACATTAAATCCACAGATAAATTGGAGTACAATGACTTCTTAAAAGAGTGATGCTTCCTATCCCTGGGACTTGGTACATTCTATCATTTATTTATATTTTCTTAATTTTTTTCAATACTATTTTATAAGCATCTGAGGAGTCTTATACGTGTATTCCTACATCCAGTCTTAGGTGTTTGATATTTTTCTACCCGACTTTAAATGGTATTATCTTTCAAATTTCATATTATATTTGTTGATTTTTGTCTATAGTCTTATATACAGAAAACTTTCTGATTAATATGTTAATTTTAATTTTTCTATTTAGATATCTGTTTGGATTATTAGTGTATATCTACAACATTATGTCCTTTGCAGATAAAAAGAGTGTTATTACTTCTTTTCCATTGTTCATATTTTTATTAGTGTTTTGTTCTGATTGAATGATTGATCAATTGGTTGGTTGATTGTCTTGCCTATGCTGTGGGCCCCCAACACACTGATGGACAGAGTGGAGACAGCAGCATCCTTCCTCTGCTCCCAGTTTGAGAAAAAGACTTTCAGTATTTCACACTACATAGAACGTTTGCCGTCACTTTATCAAATTAAGGTAGTGCTCTTCTTTTTAGTTTGCTGTGTTTTTATAATAAATCAAGTTTCAATTTGATCAAATTAATGCTTTTATTTGCATTAATGGAGATAGTCTTGTTATTTTTGTACTTTTATTCTATCAATGTTGTGAATTTCACTGGTTGATATTTAAAGGTTAAACCAACTTTGTATTTTTGGTACAGCTTCAAGCTGATTGAAGTTTATGCCAAATTTTACGTATCATGGAGTTTCATATGTTAACATTTTGTTTAGGATTTTTGCATCCATGCTTCTGAGACAGAACAACATAATTTTTTTTCTTTTATTGCCATTGTTAAGTTTTATAATCAAGGTTATGTTGGCCTTATAAAACAAGCTGGAACATAACTATTTTACTGCAAATAAATCATTTGGAAACTTATATTAAGTAAGCAAATTCCTAAAAATGAAAACACTGTTGGGCACGGTGGCTCACACCAGTAATCCCAGCACTCAGGGAGGCTGATCCAGGTGGGTCACCTGAGCTCAAGATCCCGTCTCCATTAAAATAGAAAAACTAGCTGGACGTCAGGTTAGGCACCTGTAGTCTCAGCTACTCGGGAGGCTGAGGCAAAAGGATCACTTGAGCCTAAGAGTTTGAGTTTGGTGTGAGGTATGACACCACAGGACTCTACCCATGGTGACAGAGTGAGACTCCGTTTCCATAAAAAAAAGGAAAGAAAATACAATTTGCCAAAACTGACATATCACCACTAGAAGGAGGGCAGCATGCCAAGTAGGCACACCATGATTTGGGCTTTGCATAAACTTGAAATAAATGTTTATTTTACCAACCCACTAAGATTTGGAAATGTATCTGTTGTAACAGCTAATAAATATATCTATGGCTAATATGTCATTTGCTATTTGCAGTCAATTTTTTAAACACCTTGCATATTCAAAACTGGCATAGATAGTGTCTGTATTAGACATCAGTCTCTCACCTACTCTTCCTTTTGATTTGCTCTAATATCAGAAATAGTAACCATGGACTGATGTGGTGCTCTAGCTTTTCATGGGTGAACGGTGTTT